ACTCCCAGAATTCCCCAGCAAGCATAGGTTTTGCATGCAATGTTCCTAAGCATGACTGGCTAGGGAATTCTGGGAGTTGAAGTCCACAAGTCTTAAAGTTGCCAAGTTTGGCTCTAGAGAGAGAGAGAGATTTCCCATTATTATTATTATTATTATTATTATTATTATTATTATTATTATTATTATTATTATTATTATTTATTCAATTTATATACCGCCCTTCTCCTAGTGGACTCAGGGCGGTGCACAGCCAAAACTAAAATACATAACAATACAAAATTTAAAATTAATTAAAAGAATTATATACTTTGGCCCGAATTAAAACAGTGCGAATTAAAACCCATTAACAAATTAAAACTAAACAATTAACCATTAAAAACTAAAAAAGGGGGCGGGATTCACGCCAGCCCTGCTTGCTGGAAAAGAAGAGTTTTCAGGGCACGGCGAAAGACCCGGAGATCCGATATCCTTCTTATCTCTGGGGGCAAATCGTTCCAGAGGGCGGGGGCTGCCACAGAGAAGGCCCTCCCCCTGGGGGTCGCCAGCCGACATTGCCTGGCCGACGGCACCCTGAGGAGTCCCTCTCTGTGGGAGCGTACTGGTCGGTGGGAGGCTATCGGCGGCAGAAGGCGGTGCCGCAAATACCCAGGTCCTATGCCATGGAGTGCTTTAAAGGTGGTAACCAACACCTTGAAGCGCACCCGGAAGACCACTGGAAGCCAATGCAGCTCACGCAGGAGAGGTGTCACATGGGAGCGACCCCTCGCTCCCATAATCCCCCGCGCGGCCGCATTCTGCCCCAGTTGGAGCCTCTGGGTACTCCTCAAGGGGATCCCCATGTAGAGAGCATTGCAGTAGTCCAGGCGGGAAGTGACGAGTGCCTGAGTGACTGTGCGTAAGGAATCCCGATCCAGAAAGGAGTTATGAGCCTAACAATGTACCACATTTGACAGGCCATGCCTCAAATGTTAAGAGTTTCAGACTGTCCGTCCCTGTCCCTGTCCCCCTTCTTCCAAGGGATGATGTGTGGGGAAGCATTGCATAAGCTGAATGAGCTAACATCTTCAGATGAAGTAGTAGAAGACTAACTGGGAGTAGTAACTTAATCAAACACCGCACCATGCTTGGGAACCTTGCATGCAAAATCCAAGTGTTGCCAACACAGTTGGAATAAAACCGAAACCAGACCATCATATTCTAACCTGCCACGTATCATCTTGCACAGTTCCAGAAGACCAAAGACCACAGAGAGAAGAGTTGTGTGAGAAGAAGGACCTGCCGAAGGAGATCACCAAAGAACCTGGCCCCAAGATAGATGATCATGAGCCCAGGCTGGGACCACGACCGCGTTCTCACAACAAAGTCCTCAACCCGCCGGGAGGCAAATCTAGCATTGCATTCTATTAGGGAAGGCCACTTACACACCCACCCCCCACCCTTCCCCAATGTCTTAAGCTTTCATTATCGGAACCAAAAGGCTAATTTTTTAGTACTTGAAAGAGGGGAGGGCTTAGTAGTTTGGCTTATTTAGTCCACGGCAGCCATCGTCATAAGCCTTTTGGGTGTTCATTTGTAAGACAGGGATGAGTCCTGAGCTTCTTCCTTCCCTCTGCATTCTGAACACAGTTAAGGAAGACTCCCTGAGAATGATTGCAGAACAAATTCCAATTAAGGCACGAGACCAGTGTTTGGTCTGCCAGCTAGGCAACACAGCCTCGAGTAGATTTTCTCTGTGTTTATAAAGAAGGGAAACTGCTCCACTATATCCTGGAAAAAGATTGTCATCTTGCAGAAAAGTGAAAGGAGCAAATTAGTTTTTGAGATAAATTGTAGTTGAAATGAATCATGCACAAATCCCTTTCTGGAAGAGTTTTAGAAGCTTTGGCTTTGTGGCACTCCTCTTTTGACCAGTTGGGTATAACTTCATGGTGAGTAGCACATAAGAAAAAAAAGTGTGTTGAGAGAACGAAGCCAAACCACTTAAGTTTAAAATTAGAGTCTGAATCCTCTCCAAGGAGGCAGTTCAGAAGCTAGTGACTAACTCTCTCCTTCATCACTAACCTCCCCGCACAAGCTATTGTGCCTGAAGATTGTAATTTTCATTAGGCCGTGAACTGCTGCTGCTTGCAGAAAGGTTCTCATTCTAATTTTATGCCAACTCTTAGTCTGTTCTCCTTGTTGCTCTGGTTGCCTTTAGCGACTTCTCTCTCCCCTTAGCTAGGTCTTTCCATGCAGAGGCAGCCTCTGTTACCTTTAGTTACATGAGGTGTTGCTTAGACACTGCCCGTTTTGTTTTTCAAGTCCTTGGGCTCACCTCTTCCACTTCCTCTGCCAGTAGGAAAAAAAAATCAGACTGTGGAGCCCACCAGTTCTTGTAGGGCAGGCAGTGGCAAAAGAGGTGGGGCCACAGTAATGGACAGTACCTTAACTACGGCAGTCTCATAACTCACATATTCGCCTTCCTGTGCTTTCCAGGAACAATTCTTCATCTTCTTATATGTTCACCTATTTTATCTCTTCCTCAACACCTCCTTCCCACCTATACCCACTTCAAACATTGCATAGTGCCAATTCATGTGGCCTCACAGATTCTGAACACCAGGGGGTCTCCAACCTTGGCCACTTTTAAGACTTGTGGGCTTCAACTCCCAGAATTCCTCAGCCAACCATGCTGCTTGAGGAATTCTGGGAGATGGAAGTCCGCAAATCGTAAAGTTACCAAGGTTGGAGACCCCCTGCTTGAACACCACTCCCCAAAACGCCCAGGGTGTTCTCCTAACAATAGAAAGCTTGAAACCCAAGTTATTGAAATTCTTTTCTTGGAAGAATGTAAGTATGAAAGCTTTCTTTGAAGAAAAAAAAAACGTTTCTGTAAGAGGTCACTTATTCTATAGTTATTGGAAACCAGAGAGCTTCCAGGTTTATCAACTGAACACTTAACATTTCTGTGCCTTTTAACTAGCAAGAGAGTATTTAAACACCCTTACATTGCTATAGCCCTTAAACTGTGAATATCAACTTCCTGTGAATTTTTAACCCGATTCTTAGAATGACCTAAGGATGACCCTTGAGGTCTATTTCTAACAGCTTAGTACCATTAGGAAAGGGTCAGTCTTAGTTCTCGCACGTACACCCACGTATTCCATTTTTAAACCACAGCAGGAAGCATTCAAGGACAACTCTCAGTTGTAGAGAGTATGATGTCTGGATAACTGGAATGTCAATTTCTTTTAGTTTGATTTACAAGTAATGCTTTTCTATCCCCAATCATAGCTGTCCTGCCCTAATATTTTCTACAATCATATGGTCTCATCCCTGTGGACATATCTTTAAATATCATGAAAAAACTGCCTATTTTTGTAATGTTTCAGTTATCTGTTTCACATTGGAACAAAAATGAGGTGACCCCACCATAAAGCAGCCCAGATCCATACTTAACACTCAAATAACCTTGTTCCATAATTCAAAGGACATTCAAAAGCAAGCAAAGAATGGATTTGTTATTCACGCTGACAAGAAGCTATGAAAAAGATCAATCCCAAAATACATTCCAGCATTCATTGTTTAAATCCCCATTAGGGGAAGGCAAAATTAGAAAATAAAATCGAGGATTATCTTCCTTGTTTCTCCTTCCTTATATTCACCTGTTTGGCTGGGGGTCTTTTCAACCGGTGTCCTACTGACATCATGTCTGCTTTTTTGCTATGCAGATGCAGCTCAGGGTAACAAATCCCAAAGAGGCATGGGCAAAATGGCAGCCATTGACTTATTCTGGAAGATTTCCTGAGGTGTGTATTAAATGTAATACTTTGCTGGAGAGGACAGAAGCAAGAGGGAGTTGCAAATTAGTGAGATGAATGCCAAGAAAGGGAGGACTGAAGGAGCAGGATGGCTGCTTCCAAATATGTCTCTATTGAGAAACTGTCTTTGGCAGAATTAGAAACTTGGCTATGATGGTTATGCTGTATAGAATCAAGGGAAAATGTTGTAGTGTTACAATCCTGTTGCATATTATATTTAATGGTTAGCCAACATCTCCAGGCACAAGCTGGAAGTAAGGACTAACTTAGCTGACTATTAGATCTGACTCAAGACCCCTACTGGTCTTTCCTTATCACTGTTGCTTCCACTGTTTGCAATATACAATGTTGTATGGATGTCACCTTGCACTGTTTTACCATAATTGCAGTGTGAGTTTGTGAAGAGACAGACGGGAAAAAGTCTGCATTTTTGGATGAATTCTGTCTAGAACCAGGGGTGTCCAACTTTGGCAATTTTAAGACTTCTTGTGGGTTTCAACTCCCAGCTGGCTGGGGAATTGCGATAGTTGGAAGTCCACAAGTCTTAAAAGTTGCCAAAGTTGGACACCCATGGCCTAGACCGTGTATGAATAGTCCAAATTTCTCAATGTCAAATGATCAGACCATTTCCATTTCCTGAATTTTCGGTTGGAATTCATCAAGCATATCAGAAAACCAGTGGCCTTTGTAGAGTAACTTGGTCTATCAGCAATATCACAAGTTCATTGCAAAGTATTTCTGAGGTGCTCTGTACCAGACGCTGAAACAGTTCAGCATTTTGATAAACTCTGAACTAATCAGTCAACCCATGCTTGAAACTCAGCGCTGGTTTAATATTTCTTGCCAAGTTCTCTCACACGGTTTGCTATAGAGTAAATGCCACCCTTTCAATACTAGGGAGATGGATAAAAACAAACAGAATGCAAACACTGCTTAGCTTTGTAATGAAGCGAGCAATATGAGAACAATTGGCCAACATCAGCTTTGGATGCCATTTGCATAGGTCATTGCTACACGTGGATTACTTGGGATTGCAAAATTTCAAAGGGGCGTTTTCACCAGTGCTTCTCTGTTAGCCTTTTTTTCCAGCTAAGCCTTAAGTTCCGATTGATTTAACTTTGTGCCTATCGTTTGTTTTTTCGAGGGGTAGCTGAGGATTACATTGTGTATCCAGAAAGGGTATTTTTCTTTTTAAAAAAAAAAAAAAAAACCTACATTAGGAGTTAAGAATAACTCAAATATGTTGAATCAAGCTGTTTAATAAACAACTGTATTTTGTTAGTCCATTACAGTAGAACCGATGGATTCTTCAAGTCTTTTTTTAATCCCCTTATAGCCATATCATGAGTTTTACATGTACGAACTAAGATCGTCTAAGCCCCAGGTGCCTCTCCTAAAAACCAGTCACTTCTTCCCAAGTGGCTGGTAATCCAGAGATTTTACTGTAACCAAACAAGCACACAGTATATTACATGAATTGTAAAGAATGCGATTGTTGGGAGCAAAACAGAAGCAAGGTTTATAAAATTCCTTTTATTTGTGCTAATAGCCACTGCGAGGTGGCAGAGTCATTAGCTATGCAACCTTGACATTCAACCCTTGAACTGACTGTTAGTTTACATAGGCAACCCACTCATTCCTAAGACTTTTGTGAACAGGTTAAGATGCAAGCAGTTCCTTTTGTGAAATTGACAATCTGTACAGAGGAATGAGAAGAATTTCCCCAGTTCCTCCTGTCATAAATACAAAAATGTTTTTGTTCTACTGAAATGCCTTTAAGTCTTTCTTTGTAATAGTGTTCAGGGAAATAATAATTAACTTGATTGAATCCATTTTTGTGCCATTGGTTCTCTCATCAGTCAAGGCTGTCTGGTACATCTGCATTTTTTTAAAAAAAATTCAAACCCTTTGTAACATTACCACTATCCCTTTCCCCCCACTCTAGTATCCAAATGTGAAGAGTGTTGCTATTAGACAAATCAAGCTTGTGTCCATTGTTCTTTATATCATTTGACAATAAAAAAAAATTAAGTTGGCAGTCTTTATTTTCATGTGAGTTGGGCTATACAGGCATTCGGAGAAAAGTTAAATAAGATGTAACCCAATGGTTCATTTAAAAGGACTGGCGAAAGTGGTGCAGACATCATTTCAGAGTAGATGGGATGCTTGTAACTGTGACTGGCTCTTAATTTTGCAAAGAGGCCTCCTGTGAGTGACCGTGCTGGCGTCACAAAAATGTACCTATCATACTTATTAGTAGTAGTAGTATTCATATTTCTATGCCGCCCACTCTCCGAGGACTCTGGGCGGCTTACACCAAAGGCAGTATACTAAATAGCATATTGACCCCAACAATCTGGGTCCTCATTTTACCCACCTCGGGAGGATGGAATGCTGAGTCAACCTTGAGCCGGTGAGATTTGATCCGCTGATCTGCTGAACTAGCAGTCAGCTGAAGTAGCTGCAGTACTGCACTCTAACCACTGCGCCACCTCGGCTCTTTCCCATTCTAAATCTTAGCATTCCAAGTGGTCTTCCCTTAGCAGAGTTGCAGGTCACTTTTCTTCTACTACAAGCTGAGGTAGGAGATCAAGCCAAGTTTGGCACCTATATATTATTAAAACACTGGTTCCTGTAGCAAAGGTGCTTTTTCAAGAGGCAACTAGACTTTGTTTTTCCTTGAAGATGTTTTGCTTCTTCAGTTCTTGAGAAGAACTGAATGAGAAGTTCTTGATGAGAAGCGAAACGCCTTGAAGGAAAACCCAAGAAAGTCAGGTTGCCTCTTGAAAAAACACCTTTGGGACAACCGTGACCTTGGATGACTGAGAGTCTCCATAGAGATCTCATTCCTGTAATCTTTGACCAAATGCATCATGGGGCAAAACGTTTTCGACCAAGGTGCCTTAAATGGGCTAACTTTACAGAAAGTGTCCCAAATTCAATCACGGGATTGAAATTTGGCAAACGTTATAAAATATGTTATGGACATAAGAACCCTCACAAAACTGTTTGTGACATAATACAAAAATGTCATAAAGCATTTTTCCGCATTGTGTTTGTGCTATACAGTTCCACATGGGCTATTTTCAAGGCAGTTGCATCTCTGAATATATCTTGAATTTGATTTCAAAGACATTAGGATACCTGGTCAGGAAATATCTCTGAGAAGATGTCCTGCTGGACCATGGGTTGTCTAGTTGGGCTAAAAATGAGCTTGCAATTTTGAACCGGGAGATGATAGAAGGAAGAGGGTCAGGAATGCTGTTGTGTGTTTTTACAGAAACCCATCCATCTATGTTCAGGGAGGCCTGTCTACAACCTGCCTGCAATATTCTTCCAAATTCTGGAGATTTTTCCTACCAAGTGGTTGAATCCCATCAATAATTGGCTAGATATCTAGATACATGTTGATATATATCTAGATAGCTGGGGAAAGTTATTGGCATGTGCTTGTTATATTTTCTAATTGCAGTACATCATCTGAAGTCTAAGGCCAGCTAACCACGTGAGGGACAGCAGAGCCAAAAGCTAACTCATTACTGGATCACGTTACTTACTGCTGGCTCAAAGCATCCAATGCCTTTGGGATGGGTTTGGCCTATCAAGAGTGGTTAACTCTGAAGTGAATATAGTTAACTGTTAATAGATTATCTTAATGGGTATTATGTTTCTACTTCTAGAGCAAAGTTAAAACAGCCCTCTTGACAAGTTATATAGCCACCATTACTAGTAAGGACATTGTGCTAAAGAGATACAGAATATTCAATATCCATTATGCAGTCAAATCAATAATCGTTCATATTAGCCTTTATATCCCCAAGTGGTCAGGAAGGAGCTACTGGAACCCTTCTTCAGAAGAAGTCAAGAAAGGAGAAATGGAAACTGAAATATCTGGGAATGTACTATAATGTCTCAGTTCCTGAATATATTAGGATTTTCAATACTTTCATTTTAAAAAGAAACCAATATAATCGAAACAGATGTGTGAGGAAGGCAAACCTTGAGTTAAAACCTCATGATTTTGGAAAAGGAAAATTATAAAGGATTTTGATAATACTGCTGTGGTGGGTGCTACAAGGATGAAATCCATGATTAGCCTTTAACAGTGCAAGATGACTTTAAAAAAAAAATGAGTGCAAGGTTTATATATACAATTGCTTGCACAGAGTAATTTACATTCCCGCCTTTCATCCAGTTTAAAATCTACAGAAAAAAACTTTTTCAATCTCTTCAGCAGAAAATTTCCCGCAATAAAGAAGACATCTTAATGGCTAAATAACTCAAAATTGGCATTAAAAGATCTCGGCACTCATGGCAGCTGTAGAATTAATTATAGTGTAAGATTTTCAATTAGCACATAGCACCTAGCAGCTATTCGAAAAACAGCTATTCCTATCCACCAGATTTATGTCCTGATCTTTAAATTCCCTTATCAAACCCCCAAAGGAGGAAAAAAGGAGGACATGGAGAATGGAAACGAGGCTCATTTGTGTTATACCCCATGTCCCGAAGGCCTCTTCTTTAGTTGATAGATGGTTCTTCCGTCTCATTGAGAAGGGGAGCTGCGTCAGCTGGCGGCTGGGCCACTGCCTCAGTCGGTGAGCGTTTGGTCGAGCGGTTCAACGTGCCACCCTGGGAATTCATAGAATTGGAAAAGTTTGGTGAAAGCTGAACCTTTATGCACCTAGTCCAGGCAGAGTAACGGATTCCCCCTTGTTAATCGGCCAAGGTGGATTCTTACCTGCTTCTTATCTACTATGTTAAGGCAGACAGAGGTGCCAATGCAAGCGACGGTGTTGGCCAGCATGAAGATCATCATCTGCTGCCAGCGCCACAAGGGGATCTTCAGTTCACTGGCAAAGGATTTTTTTAAAAAAAGAACATTACCGGCCTGAATAGGGAGCAAGAGGAACAAGTCCCAACAATTTGCATCATATCGCATTAGTTCCATAAGATACAGCAGGGGTGTCAAACACAAGGCCCATAGGCAGGATCCAGCCCGCACGGCAGTCCTGGAAAATGTAAGGAGCCAGCCATTGTGGCTTTGGCCCGGTCTACCCAATGCAAAGAGGAAACATGCCAGCAGTTTGGGGAGTGGTGTCAAGATGGCCACACCCACCCAGTCAGCCACACCCATGCAGTCGGCTACGCCTGCCCCAGCCCCCTGAGGTCAACCACAGCCCTAATGCGGCCCTCAATGAAATTGAACTTTGACACCGCTGAGATACAGGTAGTACTCGACTTACAATAGTTCATTTGAAGTTACAACTGCACTGAAAAAGAAGTGATTTATGACTGCTTTTCCACACTTATGACCATGGCACTCTCCCTGCAGTCAGTCCCATGATCAAAATGCAGACTTTAGCAACTGATTCATACTTATGACAGTTGCAATGTCCTGGGGTGATGTAATCTCCGTTTGCGACCTTCTGACAAGCAAAGTCAACGGGGAAGCCAAGTTCACTTAACCGACCGTGTTACTAACAACTCACTTGACAACTGACAAAAAGGGTTGTAAAATGGGGCCAAAATTATTTAACAGATGTCTCACTTAGCAACACAAAATTTTGGCCTCGGCTGTGGTTGTAAATCAAGGACTACCTGTACTTGGTTATTCCACCATCAAGCAATTTATGGAAGCTGTTCGGACACTTTCCTTGATTTTGAACCAGTGGTGGAATTCAAATTTTTTTACTATCGGTTCTGTGGGCGTGGCTTGGTGGGTGTGGTGTCGCTTGGTGAGCGTGGCAGGGGAAGGATACTGCAAAATCTCCATTCCCACCCCACTCCAGGGGAAGGATACTGCAAAATCCCCATTCCCTCCTCACTCCAGGAGAAGGATACTGCAAAATCCCCATTCCCACCCCACTCTGGGGCCAGCCAGAAGTGGTATTTGCTGGTTCTCCAAACTACTCAAAATTTCCGCTACCAGTTCTCCAGAACCTGTCAGAACCTGCTGAATAGCACCCCTGTTTTGAAGGCATAAACTCTTACTTTCACTTAATCAGAAAGACAGTTGTTGTTACCTGGACTTTGTTCCCAAGATTCGTCCTACGATCACATTAGAGAGGCCAATCCCGATCATTTGCACGGATGTCGCCAGCCCCATAGCTGTTCCCAATGTTGCTTGAGGAACCACAAGTGGAATTGAAGGCCACATGCTGGCCTGTGCAAAAGACGGTTGAAAAGACAGACCGGAGAAACAGTGTGAGAGATACCACTTTTGCAGGAAGAATCAAATTTCATACAGCAGCTTCATCTCAGAGGAAACAATCGGAGACAGGAATAGCTTGAAGATGAGAGGACTTCAACTCCCAGAATTCCCTAGCCAGTCCATACATTTTAAGATTACTAAGGCTGAGAGACACTGAGATAAACTCCTTAACTTACTAGTATCTATTTCTTCCCATTTACGACTATAACCATGTTGCTTGTATCTTTCAATTTATATTGTTTTTATTTGTTTCCTAGTACGATTTGATAGCTTATTAGTAACCTTGACTATCACTAAGGGTTGTACCTTTTTATTCTTGATGAATGTCTTTTATTCTCCTTATGTACCCTGAGAGCATATGCACCAAAGACAAATTCCTTGTGTGTCCAATCACACTTGGCCAATAAAGAATTCTATTCTATTAAGAGTCCAGAATCAACAGGAGTTCTTACCGACAATTCCTAAGTGATCACAAGATCCCAACCTTTTTCTAAAACCTCTGTTTACTGATAATCACAATGGGATGCCACAGATTAGGCTGCTTAAACCAGGGGTCTCCAACCTTGGCAACTTTAAGACTTGTGGACTTCAACCCCCAGAGTTCCTGGCTGAGGAACTCTGGGAGTTGAAGTCCACAAGTCTTAAAGTTGCCAAGGTTGGAGACCCCTGGTTTAAATGGACTCATTCTCTTCCCAGTACCAGGAGCCAACTCATTTCTCAGGAGCGTTTAACCTACCAGATGCTTAAATTTGGATTCTTGCAACGATCAGAAATTATGTGCTCCGTGACCTCTGATTCTATAACTGTTGAAGCCAGCAGTGGAATGTTGAGACTTGGCAAAATCAAAATCCCGCTTAAATTGGCTTGCCAGATAGTTCTTCTGCTCTGACACTCTCCTTGCCTCCTTCTAACCTTTCTCCAGTGGTGAAATGCAAATTTTTTTGCTATGGGTTCTGTGGGCGTGGCTTGGTGGGTGGGCGTGGCCAACATTTTTTTTTTTTTTACTTTTTAAAGCATTTTTTACTACCTATTCGCCCGAACTGGATAGACTCACCTTGGAACTCAAGGATAAAAGCAAAACATTGTACTATAAAATCTGGGCAAAATTCTATGAATGGTTAGATAAAAGGGGGATAGCCGAGACAAATGTGTAGTGTTAGACTAGAATTATATACGTTATTATAGATAAATATGTATGTGAATTGTATATATAGGTATATATAGGTATAGATATGTATAATTGTATAGGAATAAGGTATAAATTACTATTATACTATGTTTAAATAACATATAAGGTGTAAGGAATATATTATTATATTACCATTAGTATATTATGTATTAGTTTAAAGTGTTGGAAGATACTTGGGACCAGTGATGTCATATCTCTGTCCAATGTTTTTAATTTTGAGCTACTAAAAAAAACTTTTAAAAAATGCTTTAAAAAATATAAAAAAGATTCCGACGATCACAGTTGTGTCGCGCAATCAGAACCTTTTTTTTACTTTTTTAAAGCATTTTTTATTACCTATTACCAGTCCGGGTGAATAGGTAGTAAAAAAATGCTTTAAAAAAGTAAAAATAGGTTCTGACGATCGCACGGCACAGTTGTGACCGTTGATACCTTTTTTATACTTTTTAAAGCATTTTTTTTTTTACTACCGGTTCTCCCGAACTGGAGCGAACCGGTAGCATTTCACCCCTGCCTTTCTCTTTCTAAAGAAGAACCCAACAATATGTGACAAAATTAGGTCAATACCAGAAACTTCCCCATGGCTTAAAGTTGAGTAGAAATCTGGAGAGGATCAATATATTAAGAGTTCTGAAAACTTACAGCTGCAAAGGAGTAGGTGATTCCTAACCAGATGGTGGAGACTAGTGGGGGAACGAATGTGAAGGCCAAGAGAGCAAATACGGGCAACGTTAGCACCGCACAACCGACAGCAAACACACCTCTCAGCCCAATATAATCCTGGAAAAAAAACAGAAAAAGAGAAATGAGAGTTAGTTTGGTGGAAGCTCAAGGCGTCAAGCTAGAAACTGGGAGAACCTGAGTTCTAGTTTTGCCTTAGGCACAAAGCAGCTGAGTGACCTTGGGCCAGTCACTCTCAGCTCTAGGAAGAAATAAGGATGAACCACTTCTGAAATCTTGCCAATGAAACTGCAGTCACTAAGAGCCAACGCTGACCTGAAGACATGCATGCATGCACACAAATCTCATAGGGTAATATCAATGCATCCAGCTTATTGGGGCCACGCACAAATCTAGCTTTAAAAAGGTAATTCCACATTTTGTTAGAACAATTAACCAGTGGAACCACTTGCCTCCAGAAGCTGTAAATGCTCCAACACTGGAAGTTTTTAAGAAGAGATTGGAGAACTATTTGTCTGAAATGCTATCGTTTCCTGCCTAAACGGGCTTGGATTAGAAGATCTCCAAGGTCCCTTCCGACTCTGTTATTCTTTTTTTCAAAACCACAAACTGCTTCCTCCCACTAAAAAAATCTACCATCTAAAAGGAGAACCTCAAGGAATGAATTATAAAAGGTAAAGATAGATTCCCCTGCACAAGCGTGCTAGTCGTTCCCGACTCTAGGGGGCGGTGCTCATCTCCGTTTCAAAGCCGAAGAGCCAGCGTTGTCCAAAGACGTCTCCGTGGTTATGTGGCCGGCTTGACTCAACGCCAAAGGTGCACGGAACGCTGTTCCCTTCCCACCAAAGGTGGTCCCTATTTTTCTACTTGCATATTTTACATGCTTTCGAACTGCTAGGTTGGCAGAAGCCTGGACAAGTCACGGGAGCTCACCCCGTTACGCGGCGCTAGGGATTCGAACCGCTGAACTGCTGACCTTCTGATCGACAAGCTCAGCGTCTTAGCCACAGAGCCACTGCGTGATATCCCACCCAAGTATTTTTTTTCAGTGATGATTTGATGACTTGGAGGTTAATTACATTGGGGCTAACCAGAGAGGGGGGGGGAAACAACAGTTGTTTTCGTCTATGTCATACTCCCGTTTTGGAACACTGCCGCTAGCAAAAACTCAATGTAGCCTTCAACCCAGAAAAAGCTGCACGCCTTGTTGTGTTGTATATTTTTTTCCAGACTTCTGTTCCCATTGGCACAATTTTATGAGTTGCCTTCCCTCCCTCTACAAACGCAAACCCAGGCAGATGCCCCATCAAGGTATTGCCCCATTTCTACCCTCAAGTCTTAAAACCATCCTTCAAAACTTACGATGAGTATGCCGACAGCCGCCGAGAGCACAAGAGAGCTGTCGTAAACCGCTCCAGCTATATAAGCAGCTGCCTGTTGACTGTAGCCAGAATACTTATCTTGGATAAACTTACTAAAAAAAGAGAAAAGGAAAGGGGACAGGAGAAAGAGAAATCCATTAGGACTTTTTTTAGGTGAAAAAAAAGGAAGGTTCTACATTTAGGCAAGAAAAACAAATGCACAGGTACCGTATATGTGGTACCTCGCTCAACAGTAGTAACTGTGAGAGGGATCTTGGAATCTTAGTGGACAACCATTTAACTATGAGCCAGCAGTGTTGCAGCAGCTGCCAAAAAAGCCAACCCAGTTCTAGGCTGCATAAATGGAGGGATAGACTCAAGATCCCGTGAAGTCTTAATACCACTTTATAAGGCCTTGGTAAGGCCACACTTGGAATCCTGCATCCAGTTTTGGTCGCCACGATGTAAAAAAGATGTTGAGACTCTAGAAAGAGTGCAGAGAAGAACAACCAAGATGATTAGGGGACTGGACGCTAAAACATAGGAAGAACGGTTGCAGGAACTGGGTATGTCTAGTTTAATGAAAAGAAGGAATAGGGGAGACATGATAGCAGTCTTCCAATATCTGAAATGGCATAGGGTTTCCTACCTAAGCAGGGGGTTGGATTAGAAGACCTCCAAGGACCCTTCCAACTCTGTTATTCTATGTTCTATGTTCTACTCCAGATCAGATTATTTTGACACTGATGTGGAGATGGGAAAAACATCATCCTTGTACAAACAAGTCAACTTTTCCAGATTAATCATTTAGTGTTTTTAAGAGCCTTCGGTGACATGGTTTAGTTCTAAGATTCTGCCTTGGCAAACGAAGCCAAAGTCTAGAAGACAATTTTCCAAGCAACTTGAGAACCTCATACACCGCTCCACCAAGGTGGAAGGACACAACTAATATGGTGTTTTCACTGCGAACCTAGAGAAATTTCCCAACCTGATCCTAGCCCTTGCTTCCAAACTTACCTATTCATCCAAAGGCAGCACTAGCTTGATGATTAATTATTCACTGAGTATTGGTAGGGAGTATAGGAAGAGGGTAGAGGTGGGAGAAATACTTAAGACTGAATAGCCAAGAAGCAGATGCAGATAAAGATTTCAGAGAGGAATTGGGGAGACAAGTCAAAAAAGCATAGCAATTAAAGTATTGAAACAGGCAAGAGACGATGGATAGATAATTTCCCTTCTTGTTCTGATTTGCTTTTCCTTTTCTCTCTCTTCTTTTTTTTAGGTAGGTGACGACTAGAAGTTAGGTAGGATAGAAAGAAGGCATTTTTGAGTAAAGGGTGACATTATTAAAAGTTAGAATAGGTGATAGAAATAAGAGAAAGGGAGATACAGTATATACACCTTTATATAATAAAATAAAAGTAATAAAAAATATGGAATAATTGAATAATGACAGATTGCAACTTAATATAATTGTGTATCATTCTTGATTGAATATAATAACTATGATTATTTTTGCTAGTTTTATTTGTATTAGAATGTATGATACCCAGGCGCCACACTGTTCACACATTGATTTGATATGTTTGTAAAAAAATAAAAAACTTGGGGGGTGAAAGTATTCACTGAGTATTCAATAATTATTTTTCACACAGTGCTGGAAAGGATCATTCTATGACCCCGTCCTTGCTCGGTCTTAAACAAATATAGAAAACCTCCACCAGGTGATTCCTGGCTCCTAACTTCACATCTGCACAAACCCAGATGCAAGATTCGGATATTCCGCGTCGTCCTTGGTTAACATCTAGTCTCATCTTTCTTATTTCTCTCCCCCCACCCCCAATCAATATTTCTCTCTTGCTGATGTAAAAGACTCAAGCAGGAGACTTGTCGAGATCGCACAAATTTGAAAGCTTCAAGGAAAGCATCCCTAAGACAGTCAGCTCCTCCTTCGGAAGAGGCAGCAACAACAGACAGAAAAGCCACAGCTAGCATTTTTGGGTCCAAGGACTGCACAGGAAGCTGGTTGGTGGAAGCTTTGTAGGGTGAGGCGCTCCCCAAAATCAGTGTCCTTCCGACCCTGTTCTTTCTCTCCAGAACTATTCTCATTACCGTACTTTTCGGAGTATAAGACGCACTTTCCACCACCCCCCAAAAGTGGGTGAAAATCATGGTGCATCTTATGTTGCCGAAGCCCCGCCCACCCGCTGGCTCCCATCCTTTTGCTGTTTTCGGCCTCCGCGCATCACATTTTCGGCTGGTTCCAGGCAGCGGGGATAGGCGGCAGCGAATGGGCCACGCTGAACGGGCTGTGATGGTGGTGAATGGCCAAGGCGGTGAACAGGCGGCGGCAAATGGGCCACGCAAACAGGCGGCGGCGGCAAACAGGTGGTGGCGAATGGGCTGCAGCGGTGGCAAACGGGCTGTGGCAAATGGGCCAAGGCAGCGCCAAATCGGCTGCGGTGAATGGGCCAGATGAATACCGGATGGATGTTGGGAGGTAAAGGCAGATTAATTTTTCTTGTTTTCCTCCCCCAAAAAGGTAGGTGCCTCTTATAGTCCAGAGCGTCTTATACTCTGAAAAATACGGTAGTTCCTTTGACTGACCTTTACTTAAAATTCATGTCACCGGACTTGAATCCAGCGGCATTAAAGCATGCATTGAAATGATTTTTCGGTCAAGAACATCTTGGAAATCCAAGGGATCACAGCCACCTCCCAACTGACTGCTTCTTATTGCTATCTGGGTGGAAATCATAGCTTGATCAAGTTAGCGCTGTTTTAAAACTTTTCTCAGCTGCTATATAAAGAGCTGTGGTGACACAGTGGTTAGAATGCAGTATTGCAGGCTAATTCTGCCGACTGCCAGCAGTTCGATTCTGACCGGCTCAAGGTTGACTCATCCTTCCATCCTTCCAAGGTCGGTAAAATGAGGACCCAGATTGTTGGGGGCAAAAGGCTGGGAACCGGCACAGCAATATCTACAAGATACTGACCAATCTCTATCTGAAGATCTCTACACCTGGAGAACCCACCCTCTTTAAGGAAATTTAATTGCTCTTCCTGATAAGGTACTTTCCTATCTGTGAATCAAAACTGCCCATCTCTCTCACAGAGGGGCTCTTGTTTTAACTTCATTCGATCAATTTGTGTCCTGTAAGGAGTAACTCAAAATTCCTCTTGAGCTTAACCGATTTGCTGGGGGGAAAAACACTGCCTGCCATGGGATCTGCTCCCTTCTTGCCAACAACCAAGCCTGTATCCCATTTTGCAAAATGAAAAAGTTTACCTTGCATCGGCCACAAAAGGGAAGATCCCATTGTAGAAGAACATTATAGTAAGGACCAGAAGCCAGTAGCGAAGGGGTAAGTGCCGGATATCTTGAACTTTCTGGAAGTTAAAAATAAATCGCACGTTAATTACTTATAACCACAACTCTGAGGATTAGTCTCTAAAGGCAGCTGTCAGGCCTGGAAGCCATCTTTTGCATTGGGCCTTCAGGCCTGCCACAATTACTCCTGTGGGAAACTGGGAGGGGGGATTGTATGGAGCAAGGGTGATATGTAGTCATAATAACATTCCTTTCTCAGAGAGTCAAGGACATCTTGCCCTACACCTGGAGGGGAGTGGCTGGGAGACATCTCCACTAGGGACGTTGTTTTGATTGGACCATGTGATGGACTTGTGGGTGCTGGGGCAGGGGCTTGGACTTTCCTTTGGGTGGGGAACACCTGGAAGCTTTCAGATTCGGGTTTTCCCAGATGTGCCAATATGACATCTCTAATAAAATGGAACTTTTGAGGAAACTCAAGCCTCGGAGTTTTCTTTCGTTGGGGGTGTTACTTGGAACCCTGACAGCAGCTTTCTCTAGGCCAGTGATTCTCAAGCTTTTCTTCACCATGGACACCCTTCAAATACCTTTTGTGGCCACGGACCCCCAAGATTTAAATATTCACATTTCTTCAAGCCTTCGTGGACCCTCTGTGATGATTTTGCGCCTCCCCCCACAGGGATCCGCGGACCACAGATTGAGAACCATTGCTCTAGCCCATGGATGTCAAACTCGCCATGTCACATTGCCATCACATGACATTTTGCAACGTTCCCCCCCTTCGCGGAGCTGGGGTGGGCGTGGCCTGCGCGTGACGCATCTGGCTCGCGAGCCGCCAGTTTTGACACCCCTGCTCTAGCCTATTGGACAACAGGCATTCTTGAGTTTCAATTCCCAACGTTTCTGGTAATGCTGGCTGGATAGACTGAGGGTTGCAATCCACCTCAGCTGGAGAAGATGGCTTTGGATCAGTCCTTCCCCAAGGCTTCCTCCCACCCTGGTTCTGCTTAGAGAAGAAAAAATAAGGATGCATCATTCTGAATTCTAGAATGTTTTATACGATCGTACAACAGAAGAACAGGGGAACCAAAGACTCATTTTTCCACCATGGCCTTCCTGCCGAAACTCGTTTATTTTCACATTTCAGGTTTAAAGCGACCGGAGACTTAAGAGGCAATAAACTGAGGAAGGATGAAGTTTTTCTCCTATAGGAGGCAATGCTTGAATTACAATTTGCATGGTCAACGTCCCATCCGCCAGAGGCAAATCAACCAGCAAAACAAGCAACTGGGGAACCAGATGGGCAGATTAATTCTCTCCTTGTAACATGGTTCATTTAGTTTTGGTTCAGCGCGTTCTTTGAGGCCAACCAACCAGCTTTAATCCACCATAATCATAAACGACGGTCTTGGTAGAATGTACGAACTGAGTCAGAAGGCAAAGCAAGTAAGTATTCAGAATCCAAAGCCATTCAGAAAACCCCTCCATCCTCTTTCCTTTCAAGAGATAGGATAACTGGGCGAGCAAAATGAGCTTTAAATGTTTGAAGTCTCTCTGGACCATCAGGGTCAAGAATGACTCACATCCAAAAGACAATAAAAAGAAAGCAGAAGTTGCCTGATGCCATATCCACCCTACCTACCAGTGGTGAAATTCATTCTTTTTTACTACCAGTTCTATGAGCGTGGCTTGGTGGGTGTGGCGGGGGAAGGACACTGCAAAATCCCCATTCCCACCCCACTCCAGGGGAAGGAGATTGCAAAATTCACATTCCCTCCCCACTCCGGGGGAAGGATATTGCAAAATCTCCATTTCGACCCCACTCCAGGGGAAGGATACTGCAAAATCCCCATTTCCTCCCCACTCCAGGGGGAAGGATATTGCAAAATCTCCATTCCCTCCCCACTCCAGGGGAAGGATACTGCAAAATCCTCATTCCCACCCCACTCCAGGGGAAGGATACTGCAAAATCCCCATTCCCTCTCCACTCCTGGGAGAAGGATACTGCAAAACCTCCATTCCCACCCCACTCTGGGGCCAGCCAGAGGTGGTATTTACCAGTTCTCCGAACTACTCAAAATTTCCGCTACCGGTTCTCCAGAACCTGTCAGAACCTGCTGAATTTCATCCCTGCTACCTACCACTTTCTTGGACTCTTGTTGGAGAACTCCATCCAAGCCGAGCTGCTTCGTGCCCACTTTGTCCAGCACGCTAACAATGATGGCTGAAATAAAGCCCAGCACGCATAACAAAGCTCCTGTGAACAGAGAAGAACCAATGGTTAGAACCTCCATCAATGGCGGACCTTATGGTTGGCATGAAACTCTTTAAGATTTGGCAACCTTTTTGTCAACTCTGAAGTGAGCCTGGCTGAAGCCATCTTTTGCTGCCTCATAGTTGCCACAAACTCTGAAAGGGGGAAGGGAGGGGGAAGTAGGTAGACTGGCTGGCAGTCAAAACAAAAAGCTTTCTCGTGGGAACCAAGCTCGTAACTTGGGCGTCCTCCTGGACGCACGGCTGTCGTTAGAAGATCATTTGGCGGCCGTGGCCAGGGGGGCTTTCTATCAGGTCCGCCTGATACGCCAGTTGCGCCCCTTTCTAGATCGGGACTCCCTACGCACAGTCACTCAGGCACTCGTCACTTCCCGCCTGGACTACTGCAACGCTCTCTACATGGGGCTCCCCCTGGGGTGCACACGGAGGCTCCAGCTGGTCCAGAACGCGGCCGCGCGGGGGATTTTGGGGGCGACGAGGCGCTCCCACGTGACACCTCTCCTGCGCGAGCTGCACTGGCTCCCGGTGGTCTTCCGGGTGCGCTTCAAGGTGTTGGTGACCACCTTTAAAGCGCTCCATGGCTTAGGGCCGGGGTACTTACGAGACCGCCTTCTGCCACCAATAGCCTCCCACCGGCCAGTACGCTCCCACAGAGTGGGCCTCCTCAGGGTGCCGTCCGCCAGACAATGTCGGCTGGCGACCCCCAGGGGGAGAGCCTTCTCTGTGGCGGCGCCCACCCTCTGGAACAACCTCCCCCCAGAGCTACGTACAATAACAGACCTCCGGATTTTTCGTCGGGCCCTAAAAACCCATTTATTTCAACTAGCTGGGCTGGCTTGAGTCAAATTTTAAACGGATTTTAAATTGGAATGTTTTAATTACGGCCAAAATTATTTAATTATTTTAAACAGATTTTAGATTTTGTATGTTTTGTATGTATGTCTTGTTTTTACTTTGGCTGTTCACCGCCCTGAGTCCTACATTGGAGAAGGGCGGTATAGAAATTTAAACAAACAAATAAATAAATAAATAAATCCCAACCGGTGCCGGTTGAAGGAGGACAGGAGTGACCAAGCAGACCGCCAACTACTTTAATTGAACAATGTGACCCGTGACATCTTCAGGGGGAAACAATTGCTCTTTTAATTAGGCTGAAACTGCGGAAAACTTTAGAGTTGGTTTTCACTAGCTGTGCCGATATGATGTATCCAATAAACATGTTCTTTGAGGAATCTACCTGCTGGATAAATTGCTGGGAGGCAGAGGCCAAAGGGTGGGGGCCAGTGGGTGGGCGGGGCTACATTCGGTGTATAAGACGCACCCAAATTTTCATCCCCTTTTGGGGGGGAAAAGGTGCGTCTTATACCCCCCAAAATACGGTATTTATATTAAAGTTGCATCCTTCATTCTTTCATTATTCCGTGTTTCAATGTACACTTCTAGTACCCATCACAATCATTTAAACATCTAGAATAAATCTGTTCGTGTTCTTTCCAATCATCCAATCCCTGTGATTCTACTATTAATACACATTTTTACATTAAAATATATTGAAAATATTGAGTTTATGTTTATGTTTATTTTTCAATTTATATAGTTGAGCCACGCGGCATAAATCTAGAGATGTTGCTTCCAAGAGAAACTCACCTCCCCAAAGGGTCCACTGGATCCCGAAATGGCTTTCAAACTGCTGGGTGAAAAAGAAGTTGAGGACGCTGCCAAGACGGGAGAAAGAGAGCGTCAGCCCGAAGGCGAGCGCCAGCTCTTTCCCCTTGAACCAAAAGGCAGTGATGCGGTTCTGCACAACTCAAAAAAGCAGAAGAGAGATCAGCGTCACTCAGCTGTAATAACAAAGCAATAACAGAGCAATGCAGAGGAGGGCATATTTTTCTGAACTTTATAAAAACCCGTGCCTCCGTTTAAGGAAGCAAGCAGGACACTTGAAGCATAAAAAAGAAAGGAAAGGGAAAGAAAGAGAAAAGAGAAAAGAAAGAGAAAAAAGGAAGGAAAGGAAGGAAGGAAGGAAGGAAGGAAGGAAGGAAGGAAGGAAGGAAGGAAGGAAGGAAGGGTCAACTTTGGAAGCCATATTAAGCCGGAAGCTTCCACACTGCCACCTTCTCGTGTGTGGGAAAGTAGGAAGGGAGATTTAGTAGAGGAATTGTCTTTAGACATAATAGCATCCTTCCTGTCGGTCAAGGTCAGGCCGATCCTGCATCTGGAGAAGGAGTTGTCGGAGTGATGTCTCGAGATGGGACGGATGGTGATTGGAGCATGTGATCAACTGAGGAGTGAGGGGATGGTTTTGAGGGGTTTTGACTTACTGAGGGAAAACCTGGACCTCTCAGATTCGGGTTTTCCCAGATGTGCCAATTTACTTGTTCTAGTAAATAGAACTTTGAAAAATGCTTGCTTCAGAGTCTTTACTTGGAGTTGGGGGGGAGGGGTTTCTGGAACACTGACAGAAAGAAAGAAAGAAAGAGAGAAAGAAAGAAGAGAAAGAAAAAGAAAGGGAAAGAAAGAAAGAAAGAAAGAAAGAAAGAAAGAAAGAAAGAAAGAAGAAAGATATTATGAAGAAAGAATACATAGCAAAAAAAAAAACCATGCTAGTCCATTTTAATAGAGTCCACTGGGACTGGCCGCCTAGAATTCATTGGATTTATTGAGTGCACTGGTGTTGAGTGTCCAATAAATAAATGTTGAAACGTCTTTCAAAATACTCATCCCTTCCATTTTGAATCAACAATTTCCCCCAGATGCAGCATTAAGCCATCCACAGGCTTAAACCAGATTCCCCCATCTTGCCTAGAATGGAAGGTTTTGGTGAACTGCCTACCAGAGCATAGCGATGATTTCTCTCTCTAGGGTCCATATTCAAGCTGCTATTTGTATTAAAATGCCCTCTTGTACACCTTTGCCCAATATCAGAATTATCTTTTCAGATGTAGTCTGAACTTGTTTTGAACGTAAAAGTGGATGAGTAACTCCCACTGCTTCTCTCCCTGCATTTAACGCACAATTTCTACTCTCTATTATGATGTTCTTTATGCTTCTGTATTTGCCAAGAAGTTCACTTAGCCTTAGACTGAAGACTTCGTAAGAGCCTCTTATCCGAGTGTTACCACTGAATGACTATAGTGGGGTTTTTGGCATCATTATCATCATTATTTCATCTCCACTAATTTTCACTTCTTAAATTTTCCCAGAATTGGACAAGAAAGCAACCATTTAGAGATCTCAATTGACACTAGTTTTATATTGCATTCTCTGCTATATTACTTCTGAACGCGGCCAGGTGTTTAAATACTGCTATTTTAACTGCTATCCCTTTCATTTATAAATTTATAAATTAAAACAAACCCATTTCGTTTTTCCACTGAAATAAAAAGGCATGATTTTGGAGATAAAAGCAAACATTTATAGGCTTCCACTCCCATATAAAACTAAAGTTCTTTTTTAATCCCTTTTCAATACAAATTAGAGGAAAGCTCACTTGTGTTTGCAACAGTCTGAATCGGGAAGTCTGCACTGATCATTTTTTTAATAAGTTAATTCTTTCAACAATTAACTAGATAAGCATCGGTTCAGATGTCATCCTAAACCCTGATTTGTTTATCTGATTTGTGGGTTTGATAAACTTTAAAAAAGAAGAAGGGGCTTTAGCAGGGGTGGGATGTTGGGGGTTCGGGAGAACCTCTAGCTAAGATTCTGTGCAGTTCGGAGAACCCCCAAATCCCACTCATGGCTGTCCCCGCCCAGCCCCACCCACCCCTCCCAGGAGTTCCCACGCGGCCCATTTGGGATGCAGGTAACTGCAGGGCGCGCGCAGAGGCTCGGGGAGGGTGAAAAACGGGCCTACCAGAAGTTCGGGAAGGTTGAAAACAAGCCCGTTTCCGTTTCTGGCCTCCAGAGGGCCTCTGGAGCCTGGGGAGGCCGTTTTCGCCCTCCTGGAAGCTCAAGAAAAGCCTCTGGAGCCCGGGGAGGGCAAAAAATGCCTGTCCCCTGCCCTGCTGCAGGTGGCCGACTAGGCCACGCCCACCATGGCCACACCCACCCAGCAACTGGGCAGAGAACCCCTTGCTAAAATTTTTGAAGCCCACCCCTGGGCTTTAGTAAGAGGTATGAATGCATCTTGACTCAAATCAAGATTCCTGTTGTACGTATCAAGGATCAAATCCAAGAAAGCAGCTATGGCTACATCTTGCGTACCAAAGAAAAAAAGAGTGGGAAGAAGTTTAGACATTCAAAGCTTTGTCTGAGTTTCTGGAACCTTGTCAGCAAAGTCCACATTTAACCACGTCAACACAAACACGCTCCTTCCTTACTTGTAAGCGATCCATTTCCAGAACCGAAAAGCAACCTGCCAGTTAGCATCAGGGGCAAGAGGTACGGAGTTCCTTTTAGGTGGGAGCCCAGTGCAAAAATGGATGATCCCAAGACGGTCAGGAACGAGAAAACAAAGACCCCAACTATAGAGAGAAGGAGGGGGAAAAAAGGTGTGGGAAAAGATTATGCAGGCAAAACATGCGGCTTTTATAGGTAACGTTAAAGATTCCCCTCGCACAAATGTGCTAGTCGTTCCCGACTCTAGGGGGCGGTGCTCATCTCCGTTTCAAAGCCAAAGAGCCAGCTTCGGAGTATAAGGCGCACCGGAGAATAAGACGCACCTACCTTTTTTGGTGAGGAAAAGAAGAAAAAGAAATCTGCCTCTGCCTCTGAGCAATTTTTCCTCCTTGCAGCAAACAGCAAACAGCCTGCTTTACTTTCATTTTCGTTTTCAGCATAGCTTGATTAGCACAAGGAAAAAAAAAAAATCTGCTCCAGCAATTTACCTCCTTGCAGCAAGCAGCAGAGCCCTGCGCAAAACAGCTGAGAGCAAATCAGCTGAGAGTCGGGAGGCAGATCCAATCAACTTGTGCTAATTAGGCTGTGCTGAAGCTGAAAGGAGCTGTTTTTTCTTGCCGTTTGCTTGCAAGGAGGTAAACTGGTGGGAGGCAGAGGCCAAAGGGTGGGGACAAGTGGGTGGGCGGGGCTACATTTGGTGTATAAGACGCACCTAAATTTTCCCCCCCTTTTAGGGGGGAAAAAGGTGCGTCTTATACTCCGAAAAATACGGTATCCGAAACAAAGCTTCAGTTTTCAAAATGCATCCCAAACCATAACTGAGTTCCTTTATACATTTTGAGCATTCAAAGATTGCTGAGCATTCAAAGACAATGTACCCAGATAGACGTGGCTAAAGCGAACTCCTTCTATTTCACATTTAAAAGCTCCTTGTGAAACTTCTCGGACAGAGATAAATGCCAATAACCTTCCAGGAAAGGCAACTCTTCATAAATGTATGAACAGAGCAGAAAAGGTCGTCTTTAGCCAGCTGGATTTGAGAAGACAAAGGAACATACAGAACAGCGTCCCCACACCCCACAACCCCCGGATGATCTCAGAGAGAGGGCAGGCCAGTGGCAAAGAAAACAAACGGCACAGTCACCCGGGTTGAGATGGGCGGGCATAGAAATTAAATAAATAGTTCGGCTCCTCCAAAACTTACAGCGGTTCCCCAGTTTGTCAATCAGGAAGCCAGCCACAATCACCACCAGTGCATTACTAAAGAGAACAACAACAACAAAAGAAAAGATAAGATAAATAGTATTGTGAGATAAATAGTATTGTGTGGAGTGTGTGTGAGAGACAGAGAGAGAGAGAAGGGAGGGAGGGAGACAGAGACAGAGAGAGAGACAGAGACAGAGAGGGGGGAGAGAGAGACAGAGAGAGAGAGGGACAGAGAGAGATAGAGAGAGAGAAAGAGAGAGACAGGGAGGGGGAGAGAGAGAGACAGATAGAGACAGAAACGGGGAGACAGAGAGACAGAGAGAGGGAGACAGAGAGAGGGAGAGAGAGAGACAGAGAGGGGGAGACAGAGGGGGAGAGAGAGACGGAGAGACAGAGGGAGGAGAGAGGGAGACAGAGGGAGAGAGACAGAGACAGAGACGGGGAGGGAGAGAGGGAGGGAGGGATTGACTCACGTCCAGGCATAGATGGCATATAGAAGGTTGTATTCTTCAGGAGTCATTCCAAGCCCTTCCACGCAATCAGTTGTTGCATTACGTTCTGTGCCATTGTGCTGAGTTCCGTTGGGGCAGGTTAGATTCTGGAGGACGAATCAGAACGAAAACAAAATGACCAATACCAGAAATTACAAATGGAGCCAAGTTGAAATGCATCCTGATTCAGTGAGGCCCACCTGCATTAATTGTTCCAGATAATTAGATAACTCCATCTACTGACTAAAAGCGCTGGATGGAGTACGTTCCTTGCACAAGGTGGTTTTGGTTGTTAGATTTTGCTCACGGGCATCGAAGGAACGCACTATGCAGCTATTGTGCTCTTCTGATCAAGGTTTATGGCTTAGTGTGATTTGGCAGCCCAGTCAATTATCAATAAGCATAGTTTAAAAACCATAGCTTAGCACAGTCGCGTGCCAAAAGCAGGGGGGGGTATGAGCCCAGTCGCGCGTGCGCACCCACACCCATGATTCAATACACCCCGCCCCACCGTGCATGCACGCACGACACCCACCCCCGGCGCTCCCTCTGCTTTTGGTATGTGATGGCACAGTGGGCCCATTTTTCGCCCTCCCCAGGCTCCAGAGGCTTTCTAGGAGCCTGGGGAGAGTGAAAACAGCCTTCCCCACCCATCCCCGGAGGCACTCCAGAGGCCGGAAACAGCCCATTTCCCAACTTCTGATGGGATCAGAAGGCCCGTTTTCACCCTCCTCATACTCCAAAGGCTTTCTAGGAGCCTGGGGAGGGCGAAAACAGCCTCCCCCCTCCCTGAGTCTGGAAACAACCCGTTTCCTGACTTCCGGTGGGCCCAGAAGGCCCAAAATTCAGCTGGCCGGTGCATGCATGCGCCCTGGAGCTGAGCTACGGCAATGCTTGCGTGCCCACAGATATGGCTCCTGTGGTCACGCGTGCCATAGATTCGCCATCACGGGCTTAGCACAATGTGTGAAGCCAGTATGTAGCAATATCTAAAAACTCTTAAGCGGGGCCTGAGTCTTCTATATGGAAAACAAATGAAGTTGCCACATCAGCTATCCAAAATGTGGCTTGGCATTCCCACCGTGCAAAGTTTCTCAAATTCCTACGTATACCTTCGGTAATTCAGGTATGGAAACAGCCGACACGCGTTTTGTGTTAATCTCTGCAGCTCTGGAAAGACTTGAATTGAAAAAAGGCTTGGAAACTTTGCACCTCTAATCTATTTGCTCCATGGCTGGAAATCAAGTTGACTTCTAACAGGATCAGAGAGAAGAAAAAAAAAAAGGGGGGGGAGGGACACTCACCCCTTGAAACTGTTCTTGCAAGACACTGGGAATGTCAAAACAGAAGTAGGAGCCAAAGGTCAAGAGACAGTTGAAGAAAAGCACAAGGAATCTGTAATAAGCTGCAAAGGGAAATAAAGTGTTAGAATGGCAGAAGATAAGGTAAAGGTAAAAGGTTCCCCTCGCATATATGTGCTAGTCGTTCCAGACTCTAGGGGGCAGTGCTCATCTCCGTTTCAAAGCCAAAGAGCCAGCGCTGTCCGAAGACGTCTCCGTGGTCATGTGGCCGGCATGACTCAACGCCAAAGGTGCACGGAACGCTGTGACCTTCCCACCAAAAATAGTGATCCCTATTTTTCTACTTGCATTTTTTACCTGCTTTCGAACTGCTAGGTTGGCAGAAGCTGGGACAAGTAATGGGAGCAGTTCACCCCGTTATGCGGCACTAGGGATTCAAACCGCTGAACTGCCGACCTTTCTATCGACAAGCTCAGCGTCTTAGCCGCTGAGCCACCGCGTCCCTTACATAGATATATTATAAAAAATATAAATAAATAATATAAATAGCTATGTGCAATTACTGTAAAAAAAAAAGCACGGTTATTTCCCCAGGATTTTGATTTCCAGATGGCACTATGCACCTGAACCTCTGATACAATGCCCAGACACTTCACTACTAGTTTACACTCACACTAATTGTGGTTCTAATTTATTTTACTTCCCAAAGACTGGAATGTAGTACACTGAGGCCCACTTTTTCATGTTCAGTGAGCAGCAAAAACCACAAGGAGGCGCTTTATATTGTTCGGAATACATTTACATTTACAAATATAATTTGGAAGGCATTTATTGCAAATATTTGTTCTACTGTATTTTAGCTACAAGTAATCCTTGATTTACGACCATTCGTGTCGTGACTATTGGAACTTGCAAGGGCACTGAAAAAAGTGACTTTGAGTGGTGGTCCTTGCACTTATGACCATCACAGCATCCCAGTCACATGATCAAAATTTGAACACTTGGCAACTGACATGTACTGATTACAGTTTCAGCATCCCAGGATCCCGTGATCTCCATTTACGGCCTTCCCGGCCTGCTTCCGATGAACAAAGCCAACGGGCAAAGTCAGCGAATCGTTGCAGGGATTCACTTTAACAACGGTAGCTGAAAAGGTTAATTAATTGGATGCAACTCACTTAACAACCCGCTTGTTTAACAACGGAAATCCTGGTCCCAATTGCAATCTATTGAGGGGCGCCTGTACTTTCAATGTATACCATTCTTCATTCTTGCCGTCCATAAAAATTCAAATAAATAAACCAAATAGAATAGAATAATAGAGTTGGAAGGGACCTTGGAGGTCTTCTAGTCCAACCCCCTGCTAAGGCAGGAAACCCTACACCACTTCAGACAAATGGTTATCCAACATCTTCTTAAAACCTTCCACCATTGGGCTGACACCCAATCTGAGATTTTAATCACCGGGAACTGCCGGATGCAAAGACCCAAATACTGCAGCCCATGCTTAATCCAGCCCAAAGATCCCCTAATCCCCACATCCTATTCCACATGATTTCTGTTGTTGTTAGCCGGGAAGTCGTGTCTGACCCATCGAGATCCCCGTGGACAACGTTCCTCCAAGCCTTCCTGTCCTCTACCATCTTCTGGAGTCCATTTAAACTCACGCCGACGGCTTCAGTGACTCCATCCAGCCACATGATCAGATTAAATCAGGGGTCAGCAACCTGCGGCTCTGGAGCCGCATGTGGCTCTTTCACCCCTCTGCTGAGGCTCCCTGTCACTCAAAATATGTGTCACAACCACCAATGTGCATCACCCACCGGCACACGATTTATTGAGCTTTTCAACTCCTGGTAGGCCAAGAAAAGAAAAGTTTCAGAAGAAAACAGAATGTTTAATTCAACTACATATGCTAGTTTTGTGGCTGCGCAAAAAATAGTCAGGCACGGGAAGAGTTTTGTGGCTCCCGGTGTTTTCTTTTCTGTGGGAAACGGGTCCAAATGGCTCTTTGAGTGCTTAAGGTTGCACACCCCTGGATTAGATTAACAGAGCTGGAAGGGATCTTGTAGGTCATCTAGTCCAACCCCCTGCCCCAAGGAGGAGACCCTACACCATTTAACAGATTAACGGAAGGGACCTTGTAGGTCATCTAGTCCAACCCCCTCCCCCAAGCAGGAGAAGACCCTACACCATTTCCGACAAATGGCAGTCCAACCTCGTCCTGAAAAGCAGGATGCTGGCAACCTCAAAGCAATGCCACTGCTCCCATCCAGGGCGTGTTATTCTTTCTGATCTTTTGGGGGGGGGTTTTGTCTTTGCATTTAACGTTTTTTAATACCTTTTAGATTTATAATTTTAATGGCCAGGGTCGCTTTTCAGACTGAGATGAGCAAGTGCAATCATCACAGCCACAACAGGCACAACTGGAGTTAACCTTCCAGCCATGGGGAGGTAGTTGCCCCCCCCCCCCCGGTCGCCCCCTCTTTTCAGGAATCCGCCCCAGGGAGAGCTTTTCCACCATCCCTTCTCCTGCTTTAAACCCTGCCCAGGACCTCCTCCAGCCCCTGCCCACGTACCCCGAGGAAATCATGTGCAGAATTCTCACTGGGACGGATCTGAGCATCAGACTAGTCCTCAATGCAAAAAAAAAAAAGGGAGGGGGCCCTCTGAGCATACGCAGAGCGCGCCTGGCAGCCTGCCACGAAGAAAGCGCCCCGTGACAGCCGGTTCCCCGCTGCATCGGAGCCGGGGGGGAGCGGGGAGTCACGTACTCCGGCTCACCTTTCTCGGCCGCCGCTTCCGCCATCGCTCCGATTCTCGGCTGGCCGACGCCGCTTCTCCCGATGCAGCGATGGCCCCGCCCCCCCGGCCCCGCCCACCATCCCCGGGACCGAGGCCCCGCCCCTTTCCTCATCAGCCGCGCTCTTTGTTCCTGGCCGGCCCACATTTCGCCCCGCCTACTTACCCAGCCCTCCCGACGACGAAACTCCGCCCTTCTGTCTCGTGACGTGAAACTCCTCCCTCTTCCTCCCCTCCTCCCTTATACGTGTATCCCGGAGCTTTGCCTCCAAACCACGCCTCCTCCCGCCCCTGCAGTTGCAAGCTCCGCCCCCTGCCGTTGACACCCTTTGGGATGCTTTTTTGGAGGCTCCTTTGCTCCGCCCCTCAGCGTGAAGCTCCGCCTCTCTTCGAGGGGGCCGTTCCCGCCTTTTCTGAGGCGGCGAAGGCGGTGGCATTTGTCTCTCGCAAGGCGAGGGAGGTGGAAGTCTGTATGTGGGAAGGCTTTTCAGCTTCCTTTATTCCTAGAAAACGTCCCACAAATAATTATTATATTTGGTCATTTATTATAAGAGTCCCAAGACCAATCATAAAATCACTGGTTTTCATTTAAAAGGTGTCCCACCACCATGTGTATTTTTTGCACACCTTCCAACAGGTGCTTCTAAATTTAAGGTGACCAGATTTTAACATTGGTAAAGACTATAAACTCCTTTCTAAAAATACTTTTTTAAGGACTTTTTTTTTCCCCCTTCAGTGTCGTGCACCAATAGAAAAAAATATCAAGCAGTGTGTTTTACTAGACAAACAGTAACAGTTATTTTCAGGAAAGAACTCATAAACTAAGTTTTAAATAAGTCTTTTTTTCCCCCAAGGACGCATTGAGCCAATACAGTAACTTTTAAATGTATCTTCAAGAAAGCTCAACCAATCACATATTTTCTAAACAACTTGTCATGTTGTAAGAATGGATAGTGAGATAGGCAGGGTATAAATTTAATAAATTATATTTTCACTTCATTTTCCTTGATATTAATTTGAAAACATTTTTCTTGATTATATTTTTCAAAACATCCACAAAGTACTTTCTCTTTGGCCAACATCAAAGTCAATGAAATGCATTTGAATAAAGCATTGGCTGTTTCCATTATGTTACCCATGTGAGAAAGAAAAATGAAAAGAAGAGAAATGAAATGGAAATGAAAGCCATGAAGACTGGAGGCAGAAAAAATGAAAATAGAATAGAATAGAATAGAATAGAATAGAATAGAATAGAATAGAATAGAATAGAATAGAATAGAATAACAGAGTTGGAAGGGACTTTGAAGGTCTTCTAGTCCAACCCCCTGCTTAGGCAGGAAGCCCTACACCACTTCAGACAAATGGTTATCCAACATCATCTTTAAAATTTCCAGTGTTTACAACTTCTGGAGGCAACTGATTGATTGTTCTGTCAGGAAATTTCTCCTTAATTCTAAGTTGCTTTTCTCCTTTATTAGTTTCCACCCATTGCTTCTTGTCCTGCCTTCAGGTGCTTTGGAGAATAGTTTGACTCCCTCTTCTTTGTGGCAGCCCCTGAGATATCGGAACACTGCTATCATGTCACCCCTAATCCTTCTTTTCATTAAACTAGACACACCCAGTTCCTGCAACTGTTCTTCATATGTTTTAGCCTCCAGTCCCCTAATCCTCTTGGTTGCTCTTCTCTGCACTCTTTCTAGAGTCTCCACATCTATTTACATCAAAAGAAAAAGAAAGAAAGAAAAAGAGGGAAAGAAAGTTAAGTCTTCCAATCGCGATAAACAAAGCTTATTAAGGAATGCAGATGATGGTAACTAGTTGACTTTGGAAGCCATTAAGACCACTCGTGTTTAATGTTTCAAAGTAAACAAACAAACAAAATAAAACAAATAAAGCAGCATGGAAAAAAAGCAATGCAAAATCATGTCCATATTGAAGGGAAATCGGAATGGAAATGTTTATGAGGTCACGTCAGTGGTGGGTTTCAAGTTTTTTTACTACCGGTTCTGTGGGTGTGGCTTGGTGGGTGTGGCATGGCTTGGTGGGCGTGGCTTGGGCATTGCAGGGGAAGGATACTGTAAGATCTCCATTCCCACCCCACTCCAGGGGAAGGTTACTGCAAAATCCCCATTTCCTCCTGATCAGCTGGGACTTGGGAGGCAGAGAATTGATGGGAGCCGGGCCAGTCAGAACTTTTACTACCGGTTCTCTGAACTACTCAAAATTTCTGCTACCGGTTCTCCAGAACTGGTCAGAACCTGCTGAAACCCATCTCTGGGTCACTTGTTCTCGACTTGAGAGTATCCAAAGCTTTACTTGCTCTGTTCAGTATATCAGGATAAAAGTCTTATTGATGCTTTTGGATTTTGTAGTTGGAGAAGACTCTTGAGGATACCATGGACAGCCAAGAACAAACAAATGGATCATCAAACCAGTCAACCTTCAGTCCTTACACCCAAGGAACAAATAACCAGGCTCAGGTTACGTACTGTAGTTTGGGCATCTTATCTGAACGCCGAGGAAGATAGAAGGAAAGGGAAGAAGAAGACAACCATCAGCAAGGTAAATTTGCACAATTAAATTGGTGATAGGTGCACCATTGGAAAACCAATAGGACCAAGTCTGGGACAGATGATCCTTGAGAAAATCTATCTGTGTGGTTGGTAAGAGGCACCATCAACTTGATATCACATAATTCATTAAACTGTTCTGTAGCATTTGCTTCCACATAAATATGCTGAAAATTGCAGCCCAAGGTCTATTTCAAAAGCAATATATACTTCGCATGTTGCTTTGAGTACAGATAACCCTCGACTTATGACTGTTTTTCACACTTAACAACCATTACAGGATCCCCATGGTCATGTGATCAAAATTCAGGTGCTTGGCGCAACTGGCATGTGTTTAAGAGTCGTTGCACTGTCCCAGGGTCATGTGATCCCATTTGTGACTTCCCAGCCAACTTCTTGACAAGCAAATTCAATAGGAGATACCAAATTTGCTTCATGACCTCATGATTCACTTAACAACTGTGGCAAAAAAGGTCCTAAAATGGAGCTCAACTCACTTAACAACTGCCGTGCTTAACAACAGAAATTTTGGACTCAATTGTGGTCATGAGTTGAGGATTAATCTGTAGTGCATCGTTAAAAGATCATTATTGTGATTTGTGCTTCTTTTTTTACATTCTCTGAGAAGGGAGGAATTAAGCTTTATATTCAATGCGTGCAAATAAAATAAATAAAATAAAAAATACCAAATAAAATACCATGTAATACCGCAAGATGCTTCTCTCTGGTGCAACAGAAGTGGGTTTTCCTCACAATTCTGTACATATAGTATATGTACATGGATTGCATTTTTATGCAATATGCCCTTGAGGTGTTGTTTTCTGCATTGGCCCTTTGAAAATAATATCCCCTTGGAGATCTCCAGAGCTCCTACAATGCCCATCTTTAAGAGTACTTTTAAAAATAGCTTTTTCTGTAGGCTTTGAGTTGGATAGACAAGGCTCTTTGTTGTTGGAAACACGATTGAAGGACTTTACTCCTAAATAGTTGTTTTTATTGATCCTGTTTTGTACAGAATTTTGTTTTGTTTCGACTTCATGAGGCTGCCAGAATCATCTGGACAGGAATGGGCTAGACATTAATTTATTATTTTAATATTATATACAAACCCAAGTGTATACATGTAATAAAGGCAGACGGGGGGGGGGGGATCACAATAAAATCAGAGAATAACAATAAACCCCGAAGTGACAATAGCCATTAAAATCTTCCTTAGAACTATGTTTCACCAACAGCTTGAACGATAGGATTCCTTTATTGAGAGAGAAAAAGCATCATAAGTGGGATATTACTGTCCATAAAGTCATTTTTATAACCTCACCTGTCCAGGAGATGTGACATGAAAAAGAAAGTTAGATAATAAAGTACATTTAGACCAGGGCACTTATTGCTTTTTGCTTTCTCAAAAAGCAATAAAACTCTCGGCTTTGCAGTTGGCAACGCAGGACAAATGATGAGAGCATCCAGAAGATGGAGAAAGCAGAAAAAAAATGGAGCTTTGGTATAGGAGAAATGTCTTTTGAGTCAAACTTTATTTTCACTTCTGAAATGTCGGAGGCATTATATCTTGGTTTCTATGTTGGAAAGCATGAGGTCTCAGTACAGGTAGTCCTTGACTTACAACAGTTCATTTAGTGACCGTTCAACATTGAAAAAAGTGACTTATGACCATTTTTCACACTTATGACCATACCAGCATCTCCACAGTCACGTAATCAAAATTTGGATGCTTGGCAAATGGTTCATATTTATGACGGTCGCAGTGTTCCGGGGTAATGTGATCTCCTTTTGCAACCTTCTGACAAGCAAAGTCAACGGGGAAGCCAAATTCACCTAACAACCATGTTCCTAACTTAGCAGCTGCCGCGATTCGCTTAATGATTGTGGCAAGAAAGGTAGTAAAATAGAGTAAAACTCACTTAACAAATGTTTCACTTAGCAACATAAATTTTGGGCTTTGTTGAGGACTACCTGTATCTAGAACTTATTTAAATTTCAGGAGCTTGGATAGCTCAACAGACTAATAGCCTGTTATTAACATTCAGCTGTCTGCAATTATTGCATGTTCGAATCTCCCCAGGCTCAAGGTTGACTCAGCCTTCCATCCTTTCTAAGGTAGGTAAATTGAGGACCCAGTTGTGGGGGCAATAAGCTGACTTTGTATAAAATATACAAAAGTATGAAAGCTATTGCTTAACGCATTGTAAGCCACCCTGAGTCTCCGGAGAAGGGCAGCATATAAATCTAATAAAAATAAAAATAAAAATAAATAAAAAATAAAAACTGTTTGTAACTTGTACAAAACTAAGGAAATGCATAGGAGAGCTATTCTAGTCAATTATTGCTTGCCAGTACAATCATATTACAAAATATAACATTATTGAATTCAGTGTTATTACTTAGTATTGAACTACCTTTTTCAGTCTGATGTCTTTCCAATTCCTTCAAGTGCAAAAACATTCATGCATATATTTTTTTTTGTTTA